TAAAAAAAAAAAAATAGACAAGTGTTCAGTTTTGAATGTGTCTGTTTCCCAGAGTCTTTTTAAAAATATATATTTTTATTGATTTCAGATAGAAAGGGAGCGGGGAGAGAGAGGCAGAAACATCAATAAAGAGTATCATCGCTTGCCTCTTGCATGCTCCCTACTCGGGATCAAGCCCACAACCTGGGTATGTGCTCCTGACTGGAATCAAACCTGGGACCCTTCAGTCCTATGCTCTATCCACTGAGCCAAACTGGTTAGGGCTGTTTCCCGGAGTCTTACCTCTAAATAGTTGCTCTTACCGATCTCTAATTTGAAGAAAGCCTGCGATAAAGGTCTCACATCCTCAACAGGCAGCTTATAGACCATCAGGGAGGAGTGCCTGGAAGGAAAAGAATGAGGCACAACCCCTGATGAGTGAATATCCAAAAAGGAGCAACAGTCTGAGAGGTGTGAAGTGGTATCTCACTGTGGCTTTAATGTGCATTTAACAAAAGAACCAAGCAACCAACCAAAGAAAATTGAAACAGACTCATAGATACAGAGAACATTTTGCCAGCTGCCAGGTTTGGGGGCGTTGGGAGGCTGGGTGGGAAAGATGAAAGGATTAAGAACTACAAATGGGCAGTTACAAATAGTCCTGGGAGTGTAAAGTACAGCATAGGGAAGATAATCAAGAATATTGTAATAACTATGTACGGTGCCAGGTGGATACTGGAAATATCAGGGGGCTCACTTAATAAAGTATATGACTGTCTAACCACTATGCTGTAGACCCGAAACCAAAGCAAATAATACTGAATGTAAACGGCAATTGAAAAAAAATAAAATCCTGACATAGGTAAAAAGTAAATGAAAAGGAGCAACAAGGGCACCAATAGTTTGTTTGCATGGACACGTCTGTGTAGCGCTGGAAACAGCCACAGTGTGAATGCTCCCCGAACAACCAGAAGTCAGTGTACTAAAGCAGAACCATCTCAAGGCTCTTAAGAAGAGGCCCCTTTTACTCTAGGCAGGAATGGGAGACAAAGGGCAGGAAATGGACCGTGGGTACCCCTCTGCAAGGGAAGAAGCAGATTACTTATCGTTCTTCTTCTCTCCTAATGAGAAACCTATTTAAATAAAAAGGACTAGGCCAGGGGTGGGCAAACTTCTTGACTCGAGGGCCACAATGGGTTCTTAAACTGGACCAGAGGGCTGGAACAAAAGCATGGATGGAGTGTTTGTGTGAACTAATATAAATTCAAAGTAAACATCATTACATAAAAGGGTACGGTCTTTTTTTTCATTAGTTTTATTCATTTCAAACAGGCCGGATCCGGCCCGCGGCCCGTAGTTTGCCCACGGCTGGACTAGGCTCACCTCCTGGCCCCACCACAAGTTACTTGGCATTGTCTAACCCAGTGGTTGGCAAACTCATTAGTCGACAGAGCCAAATATCAACAGTACAACGATTGAAATTTCTTTTGAGAGCCAAATTTTTTAAACTTAACCTATATAGGTAGGTACATTGTTATTAACTTAATTAGGGTACATCTAAGCTGGCCTTTGCTAAAAATATCCTCAATCTGATTGAGGTACGTTCGCTGAGGTTGATCACTTCCAACTCTCCCATCCGCACTCGTCTTGTATACTTGTTTCGTCTATCTCCTTTCGTTCATCCTCTCTATATGTCCACACCATCTCAACATCTTTCTCAATCCTCGACACTACATCTTCTTTCACTCCACAATGTACCCTAAAATTAACTTGATAAACTTTAGTTAAAGTTTTAAGTCAACTTTGCACTGTACGTGCGCGCCCACACGTGGTATTTTGTGGAAGAGCCACACTCAAGGGGCCAAAGAGCTGCAATGTGGCTCGCGAGCCGCAGCTTGCTGACCACTGGTCTAACCTATCTGAGCCTCCAGGGCCACTAATTACTTGATAATGTTACTGATAATAAAAATGCTAAGAGATACCGTTCAGCGAGGTGGACTGCTGCCTGGCACTGGATGTTATACAGCTGATCTCCTTGAATGGGAGTGGCTTCACCCTCTAAAAGGACAACTGAAATGAACTAGGTACATGTACCCGTTAGTACCTGGCACCTTCCCTTACAAAATCAGTTTCCAAAGAGCATTTTGTTTTCTTGTTTCCCTCCTGTGGTAGCACTTGGGTTCGGGACTGTCTCTAGTAATTTTTCACAATGACCATAAAGTAAACAAAAAAAAAGAAAAGAAAGAATGAGAAGATAGAAAATAAAACGAGACCAAGGTGAAACAGACCACTGCCTGGATTTACCTTTCCTGCGGAGCAGCCTGGGGGAAAAGCCTCAGGATTTCGCTGTGCAGGGGCTCCGCGTGGGCGAGGGTCTTCACCTTCATCTCCAGCAGGTAATCCTTGCCAAATTTGCTCTTCAGGTGCTGGATGGAACCGATACATCTGGAGGGAAGAGGAGGAAGAGGAGGAAGTCAATCAAGAAAGGGGAGAGAGAAATCTACTGCTCGTGATTTTTGGCTTCTGGAGGCCAGGGCAGGGCCAGGGAGAGCTGGAGCAGCCAGCCCTCCTGCTCCTCACAGTGATGCCCTGTGCAGGGAAGTGTCCTTTGTGCAGGGCGTGACTGGGGACCTCGTGCGGGCACTCACCTCAGCCTCCCGGACACCATGATGGCCACACAGTCACACACGGCCTCTGCCTCTGCCATGTAATGGGTGGTCAGGCGGGCGCCCCTCTCTGTGTTTCTACAGGTGGCCCGGATGGCCTGCCTAAAGTTAGAGC